AGTGCTGGGATTACAGGCCTGAATCACTATGCCCAGCCCCCTTAAATCTTTTTGATTTAAAAAAGCCTCCTGAAAAAAAAAAGCCAGTCGTGGTGGCTCAGGCCTGTAATCTTAGCACTTTGGGAGGCTGAGGCGGGTGAATCACCTGAGGTTAGGAGTTCAAGACCAGCCTGGTAAACATGGTGAAACCCTGTCTTAAAAAAAGTAATAAAAATAAAAAATAAAATAAATAAAAAAGCCTCCTGGGTTCCAGCAATTCTCCTGCCTCAGGCTTCTGAGTAGCTGAGATTACAGGTGTGTGCCTCCACGCCTAGCTAATTTTTTTATTTTTATTTTTAGTAGAGATGGGGTTTCACCATGTTCGTCAGGCTGGTCTTAAACTCCTGACATGATTCGCCCACCTTGGCCTCCCAAAGTGTTGGGATTACAGGTGTAAGTAATCTTGCCCATTTTTTTTTTTGGATTACGGGTGTAAGTAACCTTGCCCATTTTTTTTTTTTTTTTTTGGATTACGGGTGTAAGTAACCTTGCCCATTTTTTTTTTGAAATAGGATCTTTCTCTGTCATCCCGACTAGAGTGTACTCTCTGTTACCTAAGCTGGAGTGCAGTGGGGAAGTCATAGCTCACTGCAGCTTCCACCTCCTGGGTTCAAGCAATCTTCCCACCTCAGCCTCCTGAGTTGCTGGGACCATAGGCGTGTGTCAGCGAACCTGGCTAATTTTATTTTTGTTGAGATGGAGTCTCGCTGTGTCACCCAGGCTGGAGTGCAGTGAGGCAGTCTCAGCTCACTTGAATCTCTACCTCCCCAGTTCTAGTGATTCTCCTGCCTTGACCTCCCTAGCAGCTGGGACTACAGGCACAGGCCACCAAGTCTGGTTTATATTTGTATTTTTAGTAGAGATGGTTTTGCCATGTTACCCAGGCTGGTCTCTAACTCCTGAGCTCAAATAATCCTCCCACCTCTGAGTCCCAAAGAGCTAGTATTACAGGCGTGAGCCACCATGCACAGCCTAATTTTTTATTTTTTGTAGAGATGGGATCTTGCTAGGTTGCCCAAGCTAAGAGCTTTGGCTCTATTTCTGAAAAATATGGGTATAGGACATAGGAGCCAGCCTTCTACTGCCTTCATCCCTCCTCCCACCTTCCCGGAAGCTGAAGCAGGAGTGCAGATGCAGTGGGTCTTTGTCAAGCAGATGCAGTTCCCACAGCCTTCACCCCACCCCACTTTACCTGGGCTGTTACCTGAGTCTCTGCTGGCAGCGGCAGTGGCTACAGAACGAGGCACCCAGCACCATTGAGGCCACACCAATGCTCTCCACCCCCAGCAGCACAAAGAGGAGTCCTGGGTTGGGGGAAAAGGGATGGTCTAAGCAGGAGGGTGGGGGCAGTGATGGGGGAGGAAATCACTGCAGGAGGAAGATGCTGGGGGAGGAACACAGGTCAAGGCCCATCTGGGAAGTTTGGGGTTGGGTTTCGTTTCTGTGGGGGGTCATCTACAGACAAGAAATCTATGTTCTAGGAGGGTGTAAGTGTTCAAAGGGGGATGTAAGTGTTCCTCCTTCTGCCAGGCTTTGTGGTTTCAGGCAGGTGTTTACTCTGAACCTGTTTCCTCTTCTGAAAAATGAGGCTCAGCAGGGCACGGTGACTCACGCCTACAATCTGAGCACTTTGGGAGGCCGAGGCAAGAGGATCACTTGAGGTCAGGAGTTCGAGACCAGCCTAGGCAACATGGTGAAACCCTGTCTCTACTAAAAAGATAAAAATTAGCTGGGAGTAGTGGTGTGCACCTGTAATCCCAGCTATTCAGAAGGCTGAGGCAAGAGAATCGCTGGAATCCAGGAGGCAGAGGCTGTAGTGAGCCAAGATTGTGCCACTGCACTCCAGCCTGGGTAACAGAGTAAGACTCTGTCTCAAAAAAAAAGGCAAGGGGGGTTGGGAGTTGGGGAGAGATAACATGGGGAGAAGTGCCAGATATAGGTGATGGGGAGGAAAGCAGCAAATCACACTGCCATGTGTGTACCTATGCAACAATCTTGCATGTTCTTCACATGTACCCTAAAACGTAATATGCAATTAAAAAAAGAAAGAAAAATGAGGCTTACTGTTCCTGTCTGGTTGGGTAATTGTGGAAAACTGCCAGCTCGGACTTGTTATCATGAGCTCCGCCATCTTTGTCCTGGGGCTCCTGTTCAGTTGTTGTTTTGTTTGAGCATGAACTCTGAGCCACACCATTTTACAGATGGGGAAACTGAGGCTCAAAGTGCCTAAGTCTCTTGGGGAGGTTCCCCTACCCAGGAGGCAGACAAGACCAACTTTGAACAAAACCCTTTCTCACTTGAGCTCAGAGAAGGTAACACTTAGGTTACTTGAGCACTTACTATGTCCAGGCCCTGTGCTAAGCACTGCTTTGTTGTTGCTGTGTGTTTTTCTGGAGACAGGGTCTCTCTGTATCACCCAGGCTGGAGTGCAGTAGCAAAATCATAGCTCACTGCAGTCAACAAATCCTGGGCTTAAGCAATCCTCCCACCTCAGCTACTCGAGTAGCTGGGACTATGGGTGCATGCCACCATGCCTGGGTAATTTTAGAATTTTTTGTAGAGATAGGATCTTGCTGTGTTGGCCAAGCTGGTCTTGAACTCCTGGCCTCAAGCAATCCTCCTGCCTTGGCCTCCCAAAGTACTGAGATAGCAGGCATCAGCCACTGCACTTGGATTATAGTACTTTAGCTATAACCCCTCTAAAGTCACTTAGCCTGATGAGGAAACACTATTCACTGTATTTTGACAGCAGAGGGAACAGGCACAGAGAGGTCAAGTCACTTGCTCAAGGTCACACAGCAAGTAAATGAAACAGAGGCTTGAATCTAGGTTTGTATAATTTACAGGAACCCCAGCCTAAAGGCTGCAAATGCCCCAATTAAGATAAGGTCCAGGACCCCAACCCCCTCCTGTTACAGCTTCTGAGGTTAGGAGTTGATCTCTGGGGGCTACCAAGCTTCTGTTCAGGGTTGGAGGGGGTGGGGAAGTCAGCTGTGTGAGGCTGAACCCATGCAGGCTACCCGCTCTCTCAAGCTGCCAATGCACAGCCTGACGCCTCCACCACCCTGCCTCCTCTAATTGCTAATTGGCCCCTTTGACATTGGAGGGGTGGGGGAAGGTAGGTAAGACATCCATAACACACCCCTTCCTTGAGGCAGGCACTTGTCCCTGCCAGCAGGCTGGTCCTACCAGCTGGAGAGGAATGGGCATCCTAGGAGCTGGGAGCTGGGAGCTCCCTTCTGCCAGAGGGGGCTGGGCAAATGCCCAGGGCCCACAGGAACCCCTCACAGAGCAGGAGGGAAAGGCTGGATCCCCTTGGGTTTGTTAATTCTGCCCAGGGTGAGTCTATAAGTGGTGACAAGGCAAAGTGAGGAGTGCATAGGCTGCAGCCCTGCCTAGTGAATAGTACTAGACATGTCTTGGCTCTCTTTGGCCTCACCTGCCTCATCTGTAAAATGAGTAAACTGCCTTTGCTGATATGGAGTTTCTTCCAACTTTGAGAGTCCATGGCTTCTTTGTAAGAGGGAGTCTAACTCTGTGGCCCAGGCTGGAGTGCACTGCTGTGATCTCAGCTCACTGCAACCTCCACCTCCCAGGTTCAAGCAATACTCCTGCCTTAACTTCCCGAGTAACTTGGATTATAGTCTCGCACCACCACACCAGGCTAATTTTTGTGTTTTTAGTAGAGAGGGGGGTTTCATCATGTTGGCTAGGCTGGTCTTGAACCCCAGACCTCAGGTGATTCACCCACCTTGGCCTTCCAAAGTGCTGGAATTACAGGCATGAGCTACTGCACCCAGCCAATGGCTTGTCTAGAGACAAGATATCGCTCTGTTGCCCAGGCTGGAGTGCAGTGGTGTGCTCATAGCTGACTGCAGCCACCAACTCCTGGGCTCAAGTGATCCTATTCCCTTAGCCTCCCAAAGTGCTGGGACTACAAGCAACAGCCACTGTGCCTGGCTGATGACTTTCACATTCTGGATTCTATAATTCTAGAATTCTGTTTATTTGTTCATTTGTTTGTTTACTGGAGACAGTCTCACTCTCTCACCAGGCTGCAGTGCAGTTGCATGATCTTCGCTTACTGCAATCTCTGCCTTTCAGGTTCAAGTGATTCTGCCTCAGCCTTCCAGAGTAGCTGGGACTACAGGTGCACACCACCACACCCAGCTAATTATTTTATTTGTAGTAGAGACAGTTTCACCATGTTTGCCAGGATGGTCTCAGTCTCCTGACCTCGTGATCTGCCCATCTTGGCCTCCCAAATTGTTGGGATTACAGGTGTGTGCCACCGTGCCCAGCCAGGATTCTGTTTTTAAACAGTCTAAAATTCCAAAATTCTGGCCAGGCATGGTGGTGCATGCCTGTAATCCCAGCCCTTTGGGAGGACAAATCAGGCAGATCACCTGAGGTCAGGAGTTCAAGGCCATCCTGGCCAACATGGTGAAACCCCATATCTACTAGAAGTACAGAAAAATTGGCCAGGCATGGTGGCTCATGCCTATAATCCCAGCATTTTGGGGGCCGAGGTGGGCAGATCACTTGAGGTTGGGAGTTCCAGACCAGACTGATCAACATGGTGAAACCCTGTCTCAAAATAGATAAATGAATGAAGGAATGAATGAAAGAATGAAGAAATAAATAAAAAATTAGCTGGGCATGGTGGCCAAACCTGTAATCCCAGCTACTTGAGAGGCTGAGGCAGGAGAATTGCTTGAACCTGGGAGGCAGAGGTTGCGTGAGCCAAGATCATGCCATTGCACTCCAGCCTGGACAACAAGAGTGAAACTCCATCTAAAAAAAATTGATATGATGAATTAAGGCTTTTATGTTTCTTGGAGTTACAGATTCAAGAGTCTTAAGATTCTTGTCAGGCAATGTTGCTCACATCTGTAATCCCATCACTTTGGGAGGCCAAACCATGTGGATTACCTAAGATCAGAAGTTTGAGACCAGCCTGGCCAACACGGTGACACTCCATCTCTATGAAAAATACAAAAATTATCAGGCATGGTGGTGAGCACTTGGAATCCCAGCTACTTGAGAGGCTGAGGCAAGAGAATCTCTTGAACGTGGAGGTGGAGTTGCTGTGAGCCAAGATAGTGCCACTGTACTCCAAAGCCTGAATGAAAGAACAAGACTCTGTCTTAAAAAAAAATTTGGTACGTGCTTCTTGGACACCATGTCTCACCTGCCGATGAAACTCCTGCGCAGGAAGATCAAGAAGCGGAACCTCAAATTGCGGCAGCAGAACCTAAAGTTGCAGCAGTGGAACCTGAAGTTGCAGGGGGCCTCAAATCTGACCCTATCGGAAACTGAAAATGGAGATGTGTCTGAAGAAACAATGGGAGGTAGAAAGGTTAAAAAATCAAAACATTCTATGAATGTGGGCTTCTCAGAAGCCCAAAATGGAGATGTGTCTCAAGAAGCAGTGGAAAATATAAAAGTTAAAAAATCTTCCCAGAAATCCATCGTCTTAACCAATGGGGAAGGAGCAATGCAGTCTCCCAATTCAGTATTGAAAAAGAAAAAGAAGAAGAAAAAGAGAAAACTGGTGAATGATGCTGGGCCTGATACAAAAAAAGCAAAAACCAGAAACAAAGGGGAATCTGAAGATGAAAGTGCTGAGATTCCTAAAGAAACAGAAAATAATGTGGAGAAGCCAAATAATGATGAAGATGACAGTGAGGTGCCCAGCCTGCCCCTGGGACTGACAGGAGCTTTTGAGGATACTTCATTTGCTTCTCTATCTAATCTTGTCAATGAAAACACTCTGAAGGCAATAAAAGAAATGGGTTTTACAAACATGACTGAAATTCAGCATAAAAGTATAAGACCACTTCTGGAAGGCAGGGATCTTCTAGCAGCTGCAAAAACAGGAAGTGGTAAAACCCTAGCTTTTCTCATCCCTGCAGTTGAACACATTGTTAAGTTAAAGTTCATGCCCAGGAATGGAACAGGAGTCCTTATTCTCTCACCTACTAGAGAACTAGCCATGCAAACTTTTGGTGTTCTTAAGGAGCTAATGACTCACCACGTGCATACCTATGGGTTGATAATGGGTGGTAGTAACAGATCTGTGGAAGCACAGAATCTTGTTAATGGGATCAACATCATTGTGGCCACACCAGGCCGTCTGCTGGACCATATGCAGAATACCCCAGGGTTTATGTATAAGAACCTGCAGTGTCTCGTTATTGATGAAGCTGATCGTATCTTGGATGTTGGGTTTGAAGAGGAATTAAAGCAAATTATTAAACTTTTGCCAACACGTAGACAGACTATGCTCTTTTCTGCCACCCAAACTCGAAAAGTTGAAGATCTGGCAAGGATTTCTCTGAAAAAGGAGCCATTGTATGTTGGTGTTGATGATGATAAAGCTAATGCAACAGTGGATGGTCTTGAACAGGGGTATGTTGTTTGTCCTTCTGAAAAGAGATTCCTTCTGCTCTTTACATTCCTTAAGAAGAACCGAAAGAAGAAACTTATGGTCTTCTTTTCATCTTGTATGTCCGTGAAATACCATTATGAGTTGCTGAATTACATTGATTTACCCGTCTTGGCCATTCATGGAAAGCAGAAGCAAAACAAGCATACAACCACATTCTTCCAGTTCTGCAATGCAGATTCAGGAACACTGTTGTGTACAGATGTGGCAACAAGAGGGCTGGACATTCCCGAAGTCGACTGGATTGTTCAGTATGACCCCCCCGATGATCCTAAGGAATATATTCATTGTGTAGGTAGAACAGCCAGAGGCCTAAATGGGAGAGGGCATGCCTTGCTCATTTTGCGTCCAGAAGAATTGGGTTTTCTTCACTATTTGAAACAATCCAAGGTTCCATTAAGTGAATTTGAATTTTCCTGGTCTAAAATTTCTGACATTCAGTCCCAGCTTGAGAAATTGATTGAAAAGAACTACTTTCTTCATAGGTCAGCCCAGGAAGCATATAAGTCGTACATACGTGCCTATGATTCCCATTCTCTGAAGCAGAACTTTAATGTTAATAACTTAAATTTGCCTCAGGATGCTCTGTCATTTGGTTTCAAGGTGCCTCCCTTTGTTGATTTGAATGTCAACAGCAATGAAGGCAAGCAGAAAAAGCGAGGAGGCAGTGGCGGATTTGGCTACCAGAAAACCAAAAAAGTTGAAAAATCCAAAATCTTTAAACATATTAGCAAGAAATCGTCCGACAGCAGGCAGTTTTCTCACTGAAGACATGCCTTTCTTTCATCTTGAATAACTTTGTCCTAAATTAAATTTTTTTTACCACTTGATTTAACAGAATTTTTGTAGCCTTTAGAATTTGGACTTCGTTAACAAGAGTATAAATTGACTTGGGTTGCAAGCACTGAGCACTGTTCCTTCTATCAAGTCTCTCTTTTATTTTTGAGATACAAAACAGGCATTGTTTTCTTGGTTGCCCAAGGGCAGAGCAAAGAATATCTGGTCTTTCTTATGAAAAGATCAACAAAATAGACAGACCACTAGCCAGATTGATTAAAAAGAAAAGAGAGAACAACCAAATAGATGCAATAAAAGATGATAAAGGGGAAATCACAACAGATTCCACAGAAATTCAAACCATCATCAGAGAATATTACGAACAACTCTATGCACACAAACTAGTAAACCTGGAAGAAATGGATAAATTCCTGGACTCCTGTGTCCTCGTAAGCCTAAACCAGGAGGAAGCTGAAACTATGAATAGACCAATAACAAGGTCAGAAGTCGAGGCAGCAATTAAGAGCCTACCACTCAAAAAAATCCCAGGTTCAGACAGGTTCACAGCCGAATTATACCAGACACACAAAAAGGAGTTGGTACCATTCTTTCTAAAACGATTTCAAACAATCCAAAAAGAGGGAATCCTTCCCAAATCATTTTACAAGACCAACATCATTCTGATACCAAAACCCGGCAGAGACCCAACAAGAAAAGAAAACTTCAGGCCAATATCCATGATGAACATAGATGCAAAAATCTTCAATAAAATATTGGCAAGCCGATTGCAATAGCAAATCAAAAAACTTATCCAACATGATCAAGTAGGATTCATCCCGGGGATGCAAGGCTGGTTCAGCATACGCAAGTCTATAAACGTAATTCACCACATAAACAGAACCAAAAACAAAAACCACATGATTATCTCAATTGACGCAGAGAAGGCATTCGACAAAATTCAACAGCCCTTTATGCTAAAAACCCTCAATAAACTCGGGATCGATGGAACGTATCTCAAAGTAATAAAAGCTATTTATGAAAAACCAACAGCCAATATCATACCGAATGAACAAAAACTAGAAGCGTTCCCTTTGAAATCCGGCACTAGACAAGGATGCCCTCTTTCACCACTCCTATTCAATATAATACTGGAAGATCTAGCCAGAGCAATCAGGCAAGAAAAAGAAATAAAGGGTATTCAAATAGGAAAGGTGGAAGCCAAATTGTCTCTATTTGCAGACGACATGATAGTATACCTAGAAGACCCCATCGCCTCAGCCCAAAAACTCCTGAAACTGATAAGCAACTTCAGCAAAGTCTCAGGATATAAAATCAATGTGCAAAAATCACAAGCATTCGTCTACACCAATAACAGACTTAAAGAAAGCCAAATCAAGAACGAACTGCCATTCACAATTGCTACAAAAAGAATAAAATACCTTGGAATACAACTCACAAGGAACATAAGGGACCTCTTCAAGGAGAACTACAAACCACTGCTCAACGAAATCAGAGAGGACACAAACAGATGGAGAAATATTCCATGTTCATGGTTAGGAAGAATTAATATCGTGAAAATGGCTATACTGCCCAAATTAATTTACAGAATCAACGCTATCCCCATCAAGCTACCATTGACTTTCTTCACAGAACTGGAAAAAACCACCATGAACTTCATATGGAACCAAAAGAGAGCCCGCATAGCCAAGTCAATTCTAAGCAAAAAGAACACAGCGTGGGGCATCACACTACCGGATTTCAAACTATAATACAAGGCTACAGTAGTCAAAACAGCATGGTACTGGTACCAAAACAGCGATATAGACCAATGGAACAAAACAGAGGCACCGGAGGCAACACAACATATCTACAACTATACAATCTTTGATAAACCTGACAAAAACAAGCAATGGGGAAGGGATTCCCTGTTTAACAAATGGTGTTGGGAAAACTGGCTAGCCATGTGCAGAAAGCAGAAACTGGACCCCTTCCTGACACCTTACACTAAAATTAACTCCAGATGGATTAAAGACTTAAACATAAGACCTGGCACGATAAAAGCCCTAGGAGGAAATCTAGGCAAAACTATCCAGGACATAGGAGTAGGCAAGGACTTCATGAACAAAACACCAAAAGCATTGGCAACAAAGGCCAAAATAGACAAATGGGACCTAATGAAACTCCACAGCTTCTGCACGGCAAAAGAAACAGTCACTAGAGTGGATTGGCAACCAACAGAATGGGAAAAAATTTTTGCAGTTTACCCATCTGAAAAAGGGCTGATATCCAGAATTTACAAAGAACTCAAACAGATTTACAGGAAACAAATAAACAAGCCCATTCAAAAGTGGGCAAAGAATATGAACAGACACTTTCCGAAAGAAGACATAGATGAGGCCAAAAATCATATGAAAAAATGCTCATCGTCACTGGTCATCAGAGAGATGCAAATCAAAACCACATTGAGATACCATCTCACGCCAGTTAGAATGGCGATCATTAAAAAATCTGGAGACAACAGATGCTGGAGAGGATGTGGAGAAAAAGGAACACTTTTACACTGTTGGTGGGAGTGTAAATTAGTTCAACCATTGTGGAAGACAGTGTGGCGATTCCTCAAGGCCTTAGAAATAGAAATTCCATTTGACCCAGCAATCCCATTACTGGGTATATATCCAAAAGACTATAAATCGTTCTACTATAAGGACACATGTACACGAATATTCATTGCAGCACTGTTTACAATAGCAAAGGCCTGGAATCAACCCAAATGCCCATTGATAATAGACTGGATTGGAAAAATGTGGCACCTATACACCATGGAATATTATGCAGCAATCAGAAATGATGAGTTTGTGTCGTTTGTAGGGACATGGATGAATCTGGAGAACATCATCCTCAGCAAACTGACACAAGAACAGAAAATGAAACACCGCATATTCTCACTCATTGGCAGGTGATGAAAAATGAGAACACATGGACACAGAAAGGGGAGTACTAAACACTGGGGTCTATTGGGGGGAAAAGGGGAGGGCCAGTGGGAGGGGGAGGTGAGGAGGGATAGCCTGGGGAGAAATGCCAAATGTCGGTGAAGGGGAAAAGGAAAGCAAAGCACACTGCCATGAGTGTACCTACGCAACTGTCTTGCATGCTCTGCTCATGTACCCCAAAACCTAAAATCCAATAAAAATTTTAAAAAAAAAGTTTGATATGAAGAATTTAGTTTTTGTTTCTAGAAGCTTGAGATTCAAAAGTCTTAAGAGTCTAGGATCTGGCCACGTGTGGTGGCTCACTCTTGTAATCCCAGCAATTTGGGAGGCTGAGGCACCTGGATCACCTGAGGTCAGGAGTTCTCAACCAGCCTGAACAATACGGTGAAACTCCATCTCTACTAAAACACAAAAAATTAGCTGAGCATGGTGGTGTGTGCCTGTAATCCAGCTACTCAGAAGGCTGAGATGGGAGAATCACTTGAGTCTAGGAGGGGGAGGTTGCAGTGAGCTGAGATTGTGCCTGGGTGACAGAGTGAGACTCAGCCTCAGAAGCAAACAAAAATTAGCCAGGCATGGTGGTCAGCACCTGTAATCGCAGCTACTCGGAAGGCTGAGGCAACATAATCTCTGGGAGGTGGAGGTTGCTGTGAGCCAAGATATTACCACTGCACTCCAAGATCTGGATGACAGAGCAAGGCTCTGTCTCAAACAAAAAAAAATATTTGATATAAAGAATTGAGAGTTTTTTGTTTCTAGGAGTTTGAGATTCAAAAGTCTTAAGATTCTGAGATCCGGCCAGGCAAGGTGGCTCACACATGTAATCCCAGCACTTTGGGAGGCCCAGGCAGGTAGATCAGGAGGTCGGGAGATTGAGGGCATCCTGGCTAACACAGTGAAACCGCATGTGTACTAAAAAAATACAAAAAAATAGCCAGGTGTGGTGGTGTGTGCCTGTAATCCCAGCTACTTGGAAGGCTGAGGCAGGAGAATCACATGGACCCAGGAGGTGGAGGTTGTGTGCTATACCGGGCCTAGAGTTAGAACCTGAGCAAAGCCATTTTATAAGACAAAGCTGTTTTCTCAAAAATAAGTTGTAACGGCTGCCCCATTCTCCTCACAATAACTGCTGACCTTGGCTTCTGTAAACAAAACTGCTAGCTTGCTCTAAAGAATGCCCACCATGAAAAGTTGCTTGCCTTTTTCTTATCAGTAACTGTCTGGCCTTTGTTTATCAGTAGTTACCAAAATAAGCCTCTGTAAGGTTGCTTGCTCTGTATCCACTCAATCCTAAAACCAGGATGTGGTTTTTCAGCTTAAATACCCTGATGCCCCTGAGTTCAGGGCGACGTGTTGGAGAGACGTGAGTACTCCGTGGTCGCCGGCAATAAAGACCCTGCAATTTGGCATACTTTTGTCTTGGTTGATAATTTTATACTCAACCAAAATACTTCATTTGGAGTACCCAACAAGATCTATTCTTTTTGTTTATCACCAGATAAAAGCCATCTCTCAGTCTCACCCAGGTGGCCACTCCAACCTCAAGGGCCTCTAGGGGAGGGACCCACTGGGTTGCCCCAGGGCCCCAGAGTGTCACCCTAAAGGGTAAGTGACCACCTGGCCGACAGTCACCCGAAATTCTTCAGGGTCCTAAAAACCTCTGGAGGTAAGTTTGGTCTGTAATCTGGTCTGGAATCTGGGAACTAGTTCAAGGAAGGCCTGAGTCAGGAGACTGGACGCAGTCATAGCAACCCTAACTGGGCAAGCCCCACTGAGACATCACTTGAGGCTTCTGGTAGCTGGCACAGTGGGCATCAGCATCAGGTAGCTGGTATAGTGGGTACCAGCATTCGATTGTTTCCATAAACTCTGTGTGAATGAGAGAGTGAACGTGTATATATGTAGTCCCATGGCTGGAAAGCTATGGCGCTTGTGTGGGCCTTCACCCGTGGTTTCATGGGAGCATCTTAAGGCATAATGGTAATTCACTCCAGGGTCAAGCCCGACTTCCTTCCTGAAGTGACCAGGCCTGGGGGTTATACGGGTACACCTTAGCCAAGATGCACCTGAAATACCCCTCTGGGGGCATAGCCAGGCAGGCATCAGATTGGTCTCCTATCTAGGGGACACCCATCCTTTGTTTGTCACTCTTGTATGGGATGTGTCTCATCTGTACATTTGTCAGTTTTATTAGATTCATAATAGCAGACATACACTGGTTCAGGCCATCTTCCCTTGAGGTAGGGGAT